AGGGCTCAAAGCCCAGCACACAGTGGCAGCCGCCCCTGCCCCATGCACAGATCCGCGCCTCCCCCACCCTCTGCCCCAGCATTCCAGGTAGTTCCCGCCCTGGTCCTGCAGCCAGACAGGCGAGCGAGCAGGGGCAAGGCCAGTCCTTTCCTGTGCTTGAGGCAGCAATAGGGTTGCCAACTCTGTTTGAATCTATTCCAGGAGGTTTCATCGCATGATATAATGACATTAATGACTTTACGTCAGGAAGGCAAATGCACTTTACTATTACATTTTAAGAACCCACTGGACATCTGTATAAATCAGATTCAACATTTAATATTTATTTGAATTAATGCCCTATCATTTATCTCCTGAGTGACTCTTAGTAGTCTCCTGGAGATTTATCTCTAATTTCTAGAGACTCCAGGGCAATCCTGGAGGGCTGGCAACCCTAGGCACCAAGAAGGGAGGGGAGGGGAGATGAGACGAGTCCTGGTTCCTGTGGGGCAGCTGCCTGGAGACACGTGTGTGCAAGGGCACCTCGGGCTTGGTCCCCAGGGACAGTCAGATTGGCTGCCTTCCCCAGTAGAATTAAGAGACCCCCAGTATAGTTAGAAATGCCCACCTGAGAGCCCTGGCTGATCTGGGACCAGGGGTTGGGGATGTTGGGAGGGCGCTTGGGATGGGGTATGCCACGCCATGCCTGTCACATCCTGTAGGGGGTGTGAGGAGCAGAGGATGAGCTGGGGTAGCCTTGAAGCTGCAGGAGCAAAAGCCCCTGGGCTTGACAAGCCCCTGGGGTCAGGAGCCCCTCAACCTCTGCAGAGCTGGTCATCAGTGCCTTGGGCAGGGAAGCCCAGCTCTGCAGGACCAGAGGTACCACCAGGGTTGGGCCTGGCAGGGCTGAGAAACTCATGGGGAGTAGGGCTGGAGCATGGAAGCTGGCAGGGTGTATCCTCCAGCCTGGCTGTGGCACACTCCCAGCCTGGGCAATTCGACAGGGCCTGCCTGTGTAGCTGGAATCTCGAATCAGCTTGATGATTGATGCTTCTTCTATGCAACCTTTATGCAGCATTGTGTGGTTTCTCAGCCCTGACCATGACCAGACCCAGTAGTGTTAGGTGTTGTCGCTGCATGTTTCCTCACTGCAGGAGAGATGCTGGCTGGTGGTCAGTACCAGATGTTCGTAAGGAGCTAACAGCCCTGAGCCTCCTTGTGAAAGCGGCCTGTGTCCATGTGACTGCAAATAGGCACAGAGTCAGCAGGTCATACATAGCATTGGCCTGTAGAACCAGCACTGCTTGGGTACTTGAAAATGGCCTCTGCACGGCTCTAAATGAACCTCACTGGCTTTCAGGGAAGGAGCCATGCCATGCTCTGTTTTGGCCTTAATATGCCAGATCCGGCATTTGGAGTCTTGGCTTCTTCCCCGTGTTTCCGTCAGCTGATAGCTGGTGAGAATTGTTACTTCCACCAGCAGCATTTTGGGTGTCCTTGAATACCCCTCTCTTAGACTTTCCAAACCCATGTCCTCCTTATCTGTGTTTAGGCACCATTTGTTCATGGAGCTGCCACCCAGAGGCAGAAGTGATTGTTTGGCCTTCTCCTTTCTTCTGTTTCATCTTCCCAGTGCACAGATCTCTTGTAATGGCTTTCAGGCTAAGAATCTCATTCAGAAAGATTGGTCAGGGACAGTGGCACCAACAGTGAACAAGTCATTGCATTCAGGAACCAATCCCCCATTTATAACATTGTTTCCTATGGGAAAATTGGTTCCGAGTTACAACGTTTCAACTTAAGTCTCAGTTTTCAGGAACCTATTGTGTCATAAGTTCGAGGACTGCCTGTATTGGTAACCCAAGGATCGGCTAAAATTTTGCACATCTTTGGATGTTGTAATGATTTCTCAGAATAAGACAAAGGAATTTATGGTAAGGTGAAGCCTTGAAGAAACTTGTATTGCATACAAATTTGTGCATGGAAATGTTTAACTCAGCATGCCAATAACCTTAACTCTGCCTGACGTATAATCTGATGCAATAACTCTGTTGTGATAAATGTGTAAATACGTATTTATCAGCAGAATCTCTCAGGGCAAACTCAGCAAGGAGGTCACAGGCAGAAGTTCTAGCAGGACCCTTAGGGCCTGTTCCTCCTGCTCCCAGGAGGAGTGGCTGGGTGAGTCTGTCCTGGATACCATTTTGTCAGGACCCAGATGACCTCCCTCCCCAGGTTTGGATCACTGGGTACTGAAACTGCCAAAGTGAGTGTCGAGGCCACACTGCAGTCCTCGAGCTGAGGGGGGAGCTGATTTCCATTGCTTCAACAGGAGGAATGACATGTCTTTTGGCTTGGAAGACGAGATGCAAGTACACCCTGCTTGCATGTCCACCATGTCTAGCATGGAGCAGAGCAGCATCTGTGCTGGTTTGAAGCCCAGCTTCATAGCTCCAGCCACAGGGTCACATTTGAACTTGAACCCCTGCCCATGTGAATCCCAGTGGGCCTGGGGAATGAGCTAGGTATGTGGCCCAGGGGCAGAGTCAGGTCAACCCCCCTGTTGTAAAGTAATATAGATCTAATGACTCCAACAGGGCAATAGCTGATTTGAGCCAGCTGGGGATTTGGTGCAGGAGCATAAGTGAAATGCAGAACTGCTCATGTAACAGCTTGGGGTAGGAGAGGGGGGAAGCAGTGCCTATGTTCAGGGAGGATCAGCTTGGCAGCTTCACATCACTTCCTCACAGTAGTTGAGATGGGGCTGAAACTGGAGGTGTAACTAGCCCAACAGCTCCCTTGTACCAAATCCCTGCAGCAGGAAGGATTGCTCACTGCAGGAACTGTCTGGATGTTAACTACACTTAGAAAATCAGGTTTGGTCTCCAGGGCTAACATGCCTGCTAGCTGCACTTGGGAAGGACAGGGATCAACTCCTAAATGAAGCCGTATGAAATTTTGGGTGTTTGTGTGTGTAAGGGATCTGGGATGGTGTGGGTGTTTGTGCACCCGTACCATTTTCTTTCTAGGTTTCCTTGTGACTCTTTAATAGTCCAGTTTATTTGCTGAGGGTTCCAGCTCCCTGGAAAACTTGTTACAGCTCATGCTTAGCAACCTGTGAGAAAGCTGCACAACCTTTAAAACAAGCTGTTGGACAGGTTTTTCAGAAACCTTTGGTGAAAAATGCAAACAGAAACTTAGAACAGAAAGGATGAGGGGTTTGTTTTTTAAATTAGTGGAGAACCTTTGATCCCCTCCTTTCTTTATGTAGAGACTCTTTGTCCACACAACAAACAAACCCAAACAAAGAAAGCAGAATATGAAGAACTGAACATAGCAGCAGGGACTTTGCTACTAGGAAATGCTGGCAATCCAGGATGAGCTGTATTAGGAGATGCGCCCAAATGGGGGAAGGAAAAGTTTGTTCTTGAGTCTAAAATCTTAAAGTTTTTAATGCAGCACTTTTAGGTTAAGCTATAACCACTTTGGGCACTGTTTTAATATACAAATTATAATACACAGGTAGTTTTTTTAGCTTCTCCAAATGAAACCAGAACTGGTTCTTGCTTGGAAAAGGGCCTTTATTCTGAGGTTTCCTCTGCAATATCAGGGCAGGGCCACTAGAGGGGCTAAGAGAGAGGCTGTTGCTGCGCGAACCTGTACCTTGCCAGTTGAGGAGGTTGGTGGGTCTGCTGGGGTAGGAAGCGCCCTGCTCATCCTCCATGCCCAGAGCTGAGACGAGCAGAGTTGAGATCCCATTTTGCTTAGAATTAAAAAGACTCTCTCTCTGCATGTGTTTGCCATCAAATATCTTCAGCTTTGAGGAATGAGTTATTTAGGGGGTGGGAAAAGGGACAGGGGCTTTTCTTTGTAGGGACATCAGCTCTGCTTCAGTGGCTGGCTGGGGCAGCTGGGCAAGCTATGAGACGCAGGGCCTTTCCTTTCTAGGGGCTGCTGGTCTCACATCAGGAAGAGGCTGACTGGGGGCGGGGCATAGACACAAAGCCTCCCCTCAACCTCCCTGTCCAGTTGCTAGCTGCAGCCTGGCTCCAGGGCATGGGAAAGGGGTGTGATGTGGCTGGCTGTGTGCTGTGAGGCTGTTGATCCAGGCTGTCTTTTCTCTGCCAGATCTGTCTCCCAAGCTCATCACAGAAGAGCACCAGCAAACTGCTGAAGTCAGACTCCTTCCTCTGACTCATGCCTTCAGGTCTGCCGTACTGGCACAACCCCACTTTGTCCTGCACCCCACCCCACAAATCCTCCTGCTCCTACCCACAGCCTCCCTGTGTGTACGGGAGAGATGTGGCAGAGTCCATCCCTGCCAGGCCCCTGTCCAAGGCTCTTTTCACATTGTACTACTGTATGAGCCACTGCCAGGCAATGCAATATAAAAAGGGCATTGGGTAGGTGATGCCAGCCATGCCCACCCAACACTTCCACAACTCCAGGGGTGGAAAGGAGGCAGGGGGACAACCCCACCCAGTATGGGGGTGGAAGAAATGCTGATGCCAGTGAGTGTGGTTCTCCTCATCAGGGTATCACCCCATGCCAGCAGGGTGCTCATCTCTGTGCCAGCTGTAGTTCTCTTTGGCCTGGTCCTGTGTCCTTTAGTGCAAGGGCTCAATGCTGCTTGCGGCCCCATCTCCCACACACCCTGTCTACTCCTCACCCCTGACAGGATGCAAAGCTAAGGTGGGTGAAGCTGCCACATGGGAAGCACCCTGCTGAGCCATGGCAAACCCAGTGCTATCCAGCTGGGAGTAGCTGTAGCTGACCCACTAGTGCCCTCCAGTTGGGGTGGAGGAGAGCACTGTGGATCCATTTTCCCTTGGGATAGAGCGCCCCCAGTGGCCAACTACACACAGAATTAAGGCCAGGACTGCTAAAGGTGATAAGTGTTAGGGCAGCAGAGGTAAGGGGGAAAAAGGTGGAGCCTAAAGGGAGGGACATATAGACAGGAGTTGTGTGGGGGATAGGGGAGGCCTCTACCTCTCCCCCTCCCCCCAACCACAAAGACAGTATTTTATAAAAAATGCCTTTATTGATCATACAAAAACCTCGTGCGCTGGTGATGGAGCTACGGCATTGCCCCTGCCCACCTCTCCCCAGCAGGGCATCAGTGGGCAAGGTGGGAGGAGGCGGTCCCTAAGATCAACAGGACATGGTAACCCACAGAGCGGACAGGGTAGTGCATGTAGCGCCTGGGAAGGGGAGACACAGATGTGGGAAGAGTGGAATGGATGACACAGGGGATGGGAAAGGGGCGGGGGGGGCGGGGCAGCCCTGATCTTTGTGAGTATCCCTGTTCTCTACTACCCTGAACCTGCAGGCTGGGAAGACCAGCCCTGGCCTTCATGATGTGCCCCTGCTCCCTCCCCCACATGCCAGGGGGACCAGCCCTGACCTTTGTAACATGCACCTGCTCCCTTTCGCCCTCCCATCCCCATACCATGGGGACCAGCCCTGACCCTCTCCACCAACCCCCATGCTTCATTCCACACCAAGCCCCTTCCATGGGGCTGTGGGTCAGCCTCTTACCTCCTGTACCAGGACTGAGGCCTGTTCCGGGCCTCACACCATTACTACTAGTGCCCAGCCTCAACTTTTTTGCCCCAGGCCAGAAGGGGACAGGGAGAGCACTGATCCTCTTGGTCTCCTTACCCACAGTCCCATGAGCAGGCCTGGACAACTGTTTCTTCTTGTCATCATCCACCTGAGCCCTGTGCCAGGGCAGACCATCCTTGTGCTTTCTCCACTCTCCTGCACCACAGAGCAGCCCCTGGTTAGCAGTGTGGGAGATGCCCCACAGCTGGAAGGAGACTTGGACCCCATGCCCACATACAGAGTCAAGGGATGCCTCTGCCAGGCTCTGTGCTCCTTGGTGGGATCTGCACCTCAAGGTGCTTAGCAGGTGTTGCTGTCTGCAGGCTCTGAGCCCACAGGATTGCCACCTCAGGGCCAGCCTTCCAGTCTGTGCCCAGCTCTGGTGCCTGGCGGGGGAAAGGAATTCCCTGTGTGCTAGTCATGTTTGGCAAGCTCTCCCAGCTAGGGTGGATAGGTTGAGGATCCTGTGCCCCCCACTCCCTAAGGGCAATGCTTGTGCAGAGGGCAGGATCGCGAGGGTGTCGTGCTGGGATGGGTGGTGTGGCAGCGTGTATGGACAGGGCATGCTGCTGAGGGCATGGCTGCAGCCCACCCCCTCACTCCCAGCCATTGTCCTTCACCATGTGTGACATCTCGATGATGTACTTTCCCTCCTTGTACTTCTGGCTGGTCTCGAAGGCTTGTTCCTGATGGAAGAGAAAGGGAAGAGCGAGCAGTTCAACTCCTCTCAGCTGTGTCACGCTACCCATAGACCCTACCCAGCAAGAGATGTTGTAATGCCAGAGGGGTCAGAGCCTGCAGTGCCCAGCCCTGTTTCCTCCACAGGGGTGTGCTTTGCCCACTTTCTGGTGCCAGAGCCCACAGTGCCCAGCCCCTCCCTCCCCAGCAGGGAACACTGAGACACAAGAGGGGTGCTGCCCTGGGCCCCAGAGGTAGTGCAGGGTGCAGCCGGCTGGCTCAGTACTCACATATTTCCACCCCAAGGTGGTCTTGCAGTTCTCACAGAAAATGTCAGCCACAGAGTGGAGCCCGGTGAGCAAGAGGCGCTGTTCTGCTGGCCCACAGCCCACGTTAACCCTGGGCCAGAAGAGAGGAGCAGCATGGGACAGGGTCATGCCAGGCCCCTGCACCCCCCAAGAGCCCAGTCCTGCTTGGGGGAAGGGTAAGCAGTAGTGTCAGTGAGAGGGACAGCTGGGGCAGCAGCCTCAGGCATCATCTCTGTAGGAGGGCACAAAAAATAGGCAGGCACCATTGCAGTGGCAGCTGAACACACTATCACAATCCATACTGTGGCAGCTTGGTGCTGCTCCATGTGTCACAGCTGCCCCAGATGCAGAGCTTCCCTGCTATGCCTCTGGGGGTATCTATGGGAGGCCAGGAGTCAGCCTCCACGTTCTGTCTAGTGGAAGGGGAATCCTGAGATATACCCTCAGATCACAGCATGCAGGCCCAGACTCCTTGGCTTTGGCTGAAGCCTAGCCCTTTCCCCACTGCTGCTGGATGATAGATGTGCAGACAGCACTATAGCTTGCTGTTAATAGCCTAAGTCTGCCCCATCCAGAACCGCATCTCTTTGCCCCATGCCCCCAACCATCATAAGTTGGATTGCAAAAAGATCAAGGGATTGGCTCATGCTCAGAAGAAATGCTTTTAAAAATTAATCGTTGTCAGGGCCTTTTTGGCAGTTTACTGATGCAGGCGGCCAACTTGTCCAGCTTTTATCCCCGACCACAAAGGCTAGAAATGTACTTAGCAATAAATATATGTGAAGTGAGGTTCTTAGAATCCCCTGATTCCTGCAGCTGGGGCTTGAAGGAAAAAATACTAAATAGCTGTGAGGCTGGCTACGTAGAGTGGGACGTAAGGGATCTGAGGGTGTACCATGGCTCATAGCCTCCCCCAAACCTTCCTGGCAGGGTTGAGGCATCCAGCTATTACAGGGCCTCCATCTCGGTCCCTGCAGGAAGAGACCGTCTCCCCAACCTTGGAGCTGTGGCAGGTTCAGGCTGAGCCCTGCCAGAGTCTTTTCTTGGCTAAGGCAGGAGCCCAGTCTGACCAGCTAGTGGGAGAGAGGAATACCACAGCTTTTCCTCTTCCTCGTGCACTACTCCTGGCCGACAGGCAAATGTGATTAAAGCCAGCCCTGACCCAACAGGCGTGGTGCCTCAGAAAGCATGAGGGCTTAGTATGGACCAGAACAAACATGAACCAGAGGGAGGGTACCTAGTGGCAGAAGAAAGTGAATTCTACCACCTATTCTGGCTTGGTGCTGCCACACAGTTGATTTTAGTGGCCATGTGGGCTCTGCATCACTGCTAGAAGGTGGGTTATGATGCATAGTAAGAATGTAGCCCTATAAAGACAGCACAGGGCAGAGCCTGACTGGGAGGTAGCCGTGATCTGAACTAGTGATGCACTACTTTTTGGCCCCATGAGCCAAATTAATGGCTTGGGGCCCCTTTGTGGGCTGGATTGGGCCTCAGGGGTCCAGTACTGCTTCCTCACGTGCCTTGTGGACCAGGATTGGTTTCTGGGAGCGTGGCACTACCCCCTCAAAGCAAAGTTGTGTCCCAGGGGCATGGTGCTCCCCCCTCCCAGCCTTCTATATTGGAACTGTCCCCTTGGCTGCATAGCTGCCCCCTGCCTGGCCCTACATGCTGGGATTGGGCACCGGATCCAGCACACAGGGTTTGGGGCTTCCCATGGGTCTGGATATTTGGGAGCAAAGGAGTGGTGCCATCACTCTCCTGCTGCCAAATTTCTGGACCTGTGGAGAGCCCCATGGTCCTGAGGGCCATATCTGGCCTTCAGGCCAGAGGTTAAACACTCCGGATCTGGACAACCAAGGCAGGGAGAGGAGTACGTCACCCTTGCCAATGCAAGGCTTAGCGAGTCATTACAACAGATCTTGGTGTCCTTTTGAACCTAATTCCCATGACAAAACACCATGTCTTGCTGCCTCAAGTGCTGTCCCCACAAGCAGCATCCCTTTTGAGTGAGGGAACCACCCTCTAACAAGACAAAGTTACTGTGGGAATCTCTCTCAAACCAGCCACCAAAGATGGAGCATTCCCTCCTGCCTGCAGCCAGTGGGCCAAATCCTCCCAACCCTGACCTCTATGAAAGTCCTTCGACAGGCTTTGATGCAAGCAGACATCCAGCACTGAGAGTGCCTGGCTCTACTACAGAGGAGGCACCATGCCAACCATGGCCCTACCACCACCTAGTCCTACTGGCAAGGTCTGTCTGGTGCTTGTCTCTCTATCCTGTGGCATTTTTTACTTCTTTTGATCATGACTTCATCCAGTCCACAAAACTCCCTGCCTTGCTCCTGGCTGGACCCGATCAGGAATTGATTTCTATAAATGCCTAATGCCAGATGTAAAGAACCCACCTTGCCCCTTGGCTGCCTAGAATCATGGCTAATTTCTCTCACTGCTAAGCCTTGGGCCTCACCTCTCACCTGCACATGTCCACCTAACCTGTGCTGCCACTGAGTCTATGAGATAGTATGGCCTGTGCCTCTGGAGCCTACTGCACTCAAGCCCCTTGGCCCTCATGGTGGCTCTGCTCTGATCCTCTCCCATTCACTAATCCCTATCCTGAATGGCAGAGACCAAAGCCAGACCACGTGTTTCAGCACTGGGGTCAATACAAAGGAAACAATCTCTGCCGACAACATGCACCCCCAGAGTGGAGTGGTTCCACTCATCAGCCCAAGGAGGGAGAAAGGGGCTATTTCCCTCACAAAAATCAGGAATGGCCATAATCTCTGTGAAAGTCCTTCAGAGGTGGTCCTTTATGACTTCATCCTCTAGTCAGGATTTGCTTGGAAGGGACCAGTCCAAAAACCATGAGGAAACATCCAGCCAGTGCATGTGAGATGCCCCCAGGGACCCCAACACAAGGTCTAGCTGCTCTCTGTTAGGGGACTGCAACCAGGGCATGACGGTAGGAGTGCTCCAGGAGTCCTGATGAGATGCAGAGGGTGAGAGATAGACAGTGTGTGTGTGTGTACATACATCATCATGACAACAGTAGCCATGCTACCCTGGGGCTCTCCACCAAGGTGACCCCATCCCAAAAAGAAAGGGGACTTCCTGCCTTAGAACTTACCCTCCAGGGGTGGCAATGACCAGAGGCGTTTTGCTCAGGTATAGCGCCTGGCAGTGCCACATTCTGGTCCCCGCCTGGGGAATTCTGGGTGTAACCAGTAACTAGCTGTAAGGAAAATGAGCCTTGATTTACTGCCTGCTTTCTTCTGCCTGCCTGAGACTCCATGCCCACACCCCTGCCTCCTGCCATGAGCCCAAAAGGAACGGTGGATCACAGGACACTCACACAGAATTGAACAGGTAGGCACGCCCATGGCTCCCCTGGAAGGACTGTGGAAACAAAGACAGCAGTTATACCCTGCCCTCTCATAAGTGACCCTGCCTTCCCCTCCACCTGCAAGCACTGCTATGGGAAAGCTCACAGCATTTTGGGTACTGGCATTGGCACGGTATTGCTGTAGTGAAGGTCCCAATGCCACGGGTGCTGGAGTGCAAAAAGGCACAGATTGGGTAGGGCACTGCTATGAGGAAGCTCACAGCTTTGAGATCTCACCTGGGAACTGCGGAGGAGAAGATCAAAGTGCCAAGGGTACTGGCAGGGTGCTGCTGCAGGAAAGTTCACAGTGTTGGGGTCCTGCCTGGCCACTGAATGGGCAGTGCTGGCAACTCACAAGATCCTGGCTGGGCACTGGTGTGGAAAAGGTCACAGCACTGGAGAGACTGCTGTAGGGAAGCTCATAAACTTTGGGTCTTCAGCTGGGCACTCTCAGGGGAGCACTAGCAGGGCACGGCTGTGGGGAAACTGTCAGTTTTGCAGTCTCGGCTGGGTGCTCCTATGCAGAAGCTCCCAGCACTAAGGAAGGGCCCAGTGGCGGGTGGCAGGGGCCCCTGGCCAGCGGGAGCCGGGGGCATACCTTTGAGATGAGCTCGTCATGCTTGGCCAGGTGTGCCCGGCAGTGGATGCAGCTGTAGGTGCGGTGGCACCGGGGCAGGTAGCTGCGGAAGGTCTTGGCGGGCAGGCAGGCGGCAGGTGGCACCGGCTCACAGCTGGGCATGACGGGCTGAAGAGCCACGCCCTGGCGGGGCGGGGGGGCGGGTGTTGTGCAGCCCCCACACAGACGGTCGCAGGTGAAGCAGCGAAGCAGGTTGGCTAGAGCCGTGATTCAGGGAGTGCGGAGTTTGGGGGGGCTGAGCAGCCAGGGCCCCCCCAAGATGAGAACCAAGCCGAAAGGGGGGTCACCTGCAAAGAGAGAAGAAGGGCATGAGACAAGTAGCGGCTGCACCCGCCTATCCCTGTCCTCCCCTCCCACTATCCTGCCGGCCCAGGGAAAGAGCACAGAGTCTGCGGGGCTGCAGGGACAGATTGGGGCTGGGCCTGCACAGGCCGCTCTGGCAGGAGCGTTTTCCCTCGGCAGGCCCCGCGGGGCCCCCTGCTCACCCGCCCCCGCCGCCCCTCGGCCACACGGCGAGGCCCCGCTGCAGGCAGCTCC